TCAAGGAATTAAGGATTTGGTAGTATGCATTGAAAACTGATTTACCTTCCTATATACCTTCATTGTAATAATTCAATTCCTTTAATTATTTTATACCCCCCCCCCTCCTTTGCAATTGTTACTCGTCTGTCATTGCAACCTTTGCTACATCTTCGGAAACCCCCTGATGATCTCATCTTTACTTATCACCCATGGGCAAACTTGCCAATAAATCATAGTATGTAATTATATATGCATGGATCATTCACATGTTGTGATGCCAAACAACAAATCACAGTTCATATTGCATATGCATGTTAGGCACTGCCAGAAACATGAAAAACTCATTCCATAGTTAATACAGCTGGTAAATCCACTCACCGGCTCATTTTGCATTTAAGAGGTACTCCTATATAATAACTGACATAAATTCATGTCAGTGACCAGTGTACAAATTGACTTTCATTGTTTTAAATCAATTTCTCACTTTAAATGAGCTTCGAAATATTTTCCATAAATAGCAAAGTAATCAACATATTTTTCAAAATTGATTGATTGATTGTTTACTGTTTAACGTTCCTCGCCAGAATATTTCACTAATATAAGGACGTCACCATTGCCAGTGAAGGGCTGCAAATTTAGGTCTATGCTCGGCACTTACGGCCTTTGAGCAGGGGGGATCTTTATCGTGCCATACCTGCTGTGACACAGGGCCTGGGTTTATACGGTCTCATCCGAAGCACCGCCGCCTTTAGTCGCCTTTTACAACAAGCAAAAGGGTATTGATTGAGGACCTATTCTAAGCAGGATCCCCACCCACAGGGCTTTCAAAATTGAAGAGTTCCAACTTTCTGATTGGTTGACTAAAAAAAACAAATTAAACACAAAGTAAAGATGAGATCATCTGTGGGTTTCTAACAATGCCTATGCTACTTCTTAACTGTTCAATGCAGATGAAGCTAAAATGCAAAATGAAAACCTTTTAACTTCCTAACTGTATTGTATTTTGATTGCAGAAGCTTTCCACAAACTTTATTTATAAGTATGGGGAATTTAAATATAGGGCTTATATCCTTTTGGGGATCCAGATCCCAGTGTATTTTCATATTTAAATTTCAGTTTGTGTGGTTACTGAGTTTCATACAGATTCAAAGAACAGTATTATGAGGTCATAAAGTACAAAATATAAAGTCCATATATTTGATATTTCTTGAGATACAAGGTGTGAAAGGCGATTAATGGACAGACGCTGGGTAAAGTGTCTAGTTTGAAACTCTTAAAGATTTACCACTATATAGTCTGAACAAAGAATGCATTTGTCACCTGATTTTACCTTTTTTAAAAATGTAAGGCCAAAAATTAAAAAAAGCCTTGTTTCCTGCTACCCGACCTATTTTTTTTGCACCCGACCCTAAAGTTTTTATCTAGTTTTTGAGCAAAAATCAAAAATTTCATGATCCAAAAGTGAAAGCAACATACATTCAAGTGGTATCTCAAGAAATATATATGTTTTAAATATGGACTTGCATGAAACAATACTTATTTTAAACGATAATATTGACCAATGACATGTTTAATTTGGTTTTGTAATAGTTCATATCCAACAAATACCATTGGAAAAAATAAAATGAAATAAAAAAAAAATAAAATAATTTTTAGACCTACCTACCCTATTTTTTTTTAGGCTGGTAGCAAGAAACATGACTATTACTTTTTTTGGCCTAACTAAATCTAAAGGTGGTCAGATATTTATGTGACACTAGCTATAGCATATTCAATGTAGTTCATGTAAATAAAAAAGAAAATATCAATGAATAGTATGACTGCAATATAAATCTGACAATCAAATAGAAATAATAAAAATCCAACTCCTCAAAGCTTAATACATGTACTAATATAATTAAAATTATAATAAATATTTATCAATTAATACATTAGTATGTGATCTAAACAATCCTTCAAAAGAGACTTTTGTCAGTTTACACCATCCATTTAGAAATGCTGATCACAATGTACTTTCATACAGCAAAACTCGGTTATTATGAACACAGATATTGTGAATTTACGGATATAGCGAAGTCATCTTGGATTCCCAGCTATATAAATTTAAATAATTTCTTATACGGTTATAACGAATTACGGATAAAGCAAAGTAATTTCATGGGTCCCAGTGACTTCGTTATAACTGAGTTTTGCTGTAGTACTTAAATTTCAGATTTTGTATTATTCCAGTGCCAAAGTACATTGTAGTAAGCAACTTTATAGACATGCATTTATGATAATTATAAATCCCTTCCTCTCTAAATTCAAAAGTATAAGTTAAATTAAGCATTTAATTGATCAACAATAAAAAAAATTATTAGGAAGAATTAAAAAAAAAATAGAACTGTCCAAACAGGATAAAATACTACCCGCTGGCTTTTTTAGAAGTGCTAAATCATGAATATTTTATGGATCTAAGAGAAAAGAGAAATGCTAAAATATTTTTAGTGCAAATGTTATTGCTCGTTATATTTTTTATAAATGAAACGAAGACGCAGCCCAATAAAAAAATGTGGCCAACCCCTAGGGGTTATGATTTCAACAATTTAGAATATACACAATATCATGCAGGTACTTCCACATAAATTTCAGCTTTTCAGGCCCAGTGGTTCTTCAGAAGAAGATTTTTAAAGTTTTCTGCCAATATATTTCTATGTAAAACTTTAATTCCCTATTGTGGCCCTGCCCAACCCCCGGGGTCATAATTTGAACAATCTAGAATCTACACTACCCAAGGATGCTTCCACATAAGTTTCACCTCTTCTGGCCCAGTGATTCTTGAGAAAAAGATGTTTAAAGTTTGTTCTTATACATTTCTATGTTAAACTTTGAATCCTTATTGTGGTCCCACCCTATGACAGGGAGTCCTGATTTAAACGATTTAGAATCCACACTTCCCCAGGATACTTCCATTTAAGAGCGTGTCTCAGAGAAAAACATGCAAAATGGTCCAGTAGCAAGGTTCTCCAATTGCCTTCAAATTTTGCGAGCCAAATCTAGTATGCATGAATGGAAATTGGACAAATTTTAATGTGCCAACCATACCGGTATACCTTATATGACCTGTTACTAAAAATAGCTCTTATGCAACAAAATCTCAGGTCATATTTTATACTTTTTAGTCATATTTGGAGAAGAATTAAAACTGAACTCTCATTATTATCAAAATATTTAATTTTGAAATAAAAGAACACAGGTTAGTACTTTTTAAGTGCATAGTAAAAATGACTGACATCCATTGTGTTTAAGTGCAAAAAGGTCATAAAATTGGCAATGTTCCATATTTTTGAAAAAATGTCAATTTTCTAATAAATTGAAATAACACTAACTGCCATAATGGAAATTTTAATCTAGTAAATTTTACTGCTTATTGTTAAGGATGATTATGTGAACAAAATATGAAAAAATTGCTGATGGCAAATTTAAACTTTTGTATTTATTGAATGTCAAAGTTAGTTAATTTTGACACTCTCAAGGTATCAAAAATACTTAAAGTGTTATACATAAAATACTTTAAAACTTTTCAAAACATTAAATAAAAATCTTTTTGTGGTAACATTCATGTCTGTATTTTAAAAATTAAACATATTAATTACAGTTCAATAGATAACACCTCTATAAATCAAAATAATCCATTAGAAAGGGGTAGGTGTGGGGGGAGGGGGGTGTTACACACAATATTATGATTCCTTTAACATCGCTTAAACTTAACATGTAAGGAAAAGAATATTGTAAATGTTTTAAGTAAACAAAACCAAACTTCTGTAATAATTCATAAGTTTGATTATTTTTCCACATCTTTTGAATGTGATAGCTCTCCTAAAATAGAATTCAGAAAACAAGTGCATAAAGGTCAAAATAAGCATTGCGATCTCTTATTTTACAATATATGGTATGTAATGCATGAACTTCATGTACATAATGTTGGTTACAGTAAACACACTTAAAATACATTCATGTTTACAGTTACTGAAGTTAATTTCATTCTCTGTTGATTCCAAAACATGTTACACTGTTTTGGGAACTAATTACTTTTATAATGATTCATACAATCTTTGATAGAAGTCATATTGTGATGTAGGCAACAGAGATTATAAATTTAAATAACTCATTTTGATATCCCATCAAACTCAATCAGAATTCCAACATTTTAATGATAATGAAACTTTTGATCATAATGTAAGAATGTCAAAATCAATACCATGGTTCAGTATATTGGAACCTTTAATTTCCAAGGTTCTAATTTTTGTGTGTGTGTGAGAGGGGGGGGGCTAATTTTCAATGTTTTTGGGGCATGGAGAGACCCACAAATTTATGACTATCATGAAATATAAAATATTTATGCTTAATTACTACTCAACACTTCAACAACTGCAAAATAAAATCAATTTTTCCACATATCAATATATTTTTTCTGAATCCTCGATTCCCCTCTTTCAAAATATGTGATTATCATGATTATACAGGTTATAAACTTATTGAATATTTACAGATGTAAACCATACAAGTCATTTGATCTTCATGTTCATTCGAGTCTAAAGCAGAAACAATCTCTTCAAGTTTTTCATCCTCATCAATACAAACATCTTCAAAACAACTTTCAGACAACAATTGGCTTTTTACAGAGGGAGGTACAGAGACACTCTTAGATTTTATTGACAAATATATGAGGCAATATATCCTCTTACTTGTGAAATATTTAGCTATTTGACTTTCTTAAAAAGTCTTTCACCATTTTTATCAGTTACTTTCTTCAGCTCATCTGCCAATGAGACATTATCGGGGCATTTTCCTGTTCTGTCACATTCTTTGCATATCATGAACAAGTAGTCCTTTTCTTTCTTGGAGAATTGTATTGCTTTCTTCTGCTTTCCAGTGCCAAACCCATGCTTTCTCCTGTTGGCTCACTCTGGGCTCCGTCATCAACTCTACCTGATTTGACTGTTTGTAATTTTGAGACTATCTAATACTTTCACATTTTGTAGCATATAAATTTGCTGCAGTGTTCCTACTTGATCTTCAATTTCTGTAAGACTGATTTCCAACTCCCAGAAGATTTTTGTGATTGCAACATTTTGAAAATACTTTCTGTTATGATGAGTCCGGACAGAGGTTAAACATGTATTGTTCAGTATTAATCTCTGTGCTTCCAGCAGAACTTTCATCTGTAAACTGCTTCATATTTTCCTTGATCAGTCAGCTCAAGGTGTTGGGTAAATGAAACAGTTCCACTCCTGTGATCCTCCACTCTTAGAAATCCCTGTATTACCTAAAATATGAATAATAATGCATCATAAACAATTTACTTTAGATGAAGGTGGTGATTTATTTTAAGACTAACTATTAAGTGTACTTTTCATAATAGGACCGTTAACGGTAGCCTAGTGGTAGAGCGTTCCTTTCATGATCAGGAGGTCCGGCCCGGGTTCGATTCTCGTTCCCGGTGCCACGTCAAACCTAAGAAGTAAAAGGTAGTGACTATTCCTTCACCAAGCGCTCGACATCAGAAGTGAAAGTCATAGGTCTTTCGAATAACGGGTATGACCTTGAAAACGTAGGTCCCGTGTCATGGTGGGCGCTGGCATGATAAAGAACCCTCACCGCTCAATGGCCATGAGTGCCCAGTATATAGGTATAAACTTGAAGCCCTTCACCAGCAAACAGTGACATCTCCATATGAGTGAAAAATTCTCGAGAAAGACGATAACCTTTGTAAACGGTTGAATTATAAATTAGAAGATAATGTATGTTTTTTTTTTAATTTTGATGAACAGTGTTGCCATGGTTAATTAGAAATTTCTGTGAAATACTTTCAAAAGGCTATTTTAAATACAGTTATAGTCTGATTATAATATAATGTGGCAAATAGACTACACAGAGAAACATTGTTGTTTATTGTTTTTTTTTATATTGATGAATGGTTTTGTCACAGTAACTAAAATTGAAAATTTTCTAAAATTTTATAAAAGCAGCTCCTACAGTTGTGGTTTTATTGCAATCTTGCCACAAAAAGAGGCTTTATCAAAAATCATTATTCTAGACCCAACTGCTACTTTTTTTCTTCCTTTTTCTGTTTGTTATAAGAACAAACCAATAGAGCTACAGTCTCAACAGAGACTTTTGGTTTGTTTTGTTACATGTACAGATGTATGTTGCACTATTACAAAGTATCATAATACATGTAATATAAACAGGTATTACATGTACTATAAATTATAGTTATGCATTTTGGCCAGTTCTTTTAATATCAGCTGGCCCAGTGGGATAAAAAGAGTTATTGGAGTATTGAGTTATTAAAAAATCAAGGTGATAGCCTAAGTGACCAGTGAAAAATATAATTATTAATTTTCTAGCTCTACACTTTACCATATAAATTTGCTTCAGGGTTTTCTCTTCTGATTTGGTTGGATCCAATAAATACTGCAGCACATGGACAACTGTTGCTATGAGAAAGAATTTTAATCAATTGTAAATAATGGCTAATTCAAGAGAGGAATTATAAAATATTTGGGAGATGTTTCACACCTCTATAATACACCTGGTGTACTAGCAAGCATATACTGTCTAGTGCATATACATTCTAAATTTTTCAGTATAAACTTTATGAGTGACAGTATATTTTAATGATTTTTATCAATTTTCTTCATTTTCAAAATATCATCAATTTGAAAAATTTATAGGCACTCAATTTAATTTTGTATAAATCTTTATGTAATTATGGTGACGAAATATTTGTGTGATCAGCTAAACTTTCAAAATTGTCCTTGCATGTATCAAAATATACCTATTTCCTCTTTAATTCAAAACCACTGTCATACTCCTTGGTCCAAACTCATACATTCATTATTCTAACTTCCAACTGAAATTTTTGTCCTACCTGATCCAACTGAACTGGTATATTGTCTCCCTCATTTTCAATCAGTATTCTATACAAAGGTAGGGGTAGCCCATCGGTCTGCTTTTGCTTTCTTCCTTTTGATCGGGATGGCAGCACTTTGACTTAATTCTTTGCCATTTTAATCCTTAATTGTCTTGGACATACTTATAATATTATTGTGCTAGTAATGTCAATAGAAAAAATACCATTTCTATAGGCCTACAGCAGTACAGAATGCAGCAAAACGATCGCCTCTGGTACATCATAAATTTTCCATACAACCCAGCTAGGGTATGTTCAGAGACTTGAGTAAACGCATATGGTTTGAAAGATCCTTGGTGTATTCTTCTAAATGAATTTATTGGGCCATCACTGCTTGAAATGTTTGAAAAATTGCTGAAATCATATTCATTCCTCTGCCCCCTCAGTGTTGCAATATCATTTTCTCCCTTTTTTGTATGGAGAGTTCTACTACGGGAGATAACTCTTCAACACACAAATAACACTCATTTTATTATCTTTCTTTATCAATTTTGGTGAATATTTTAAACTTTCACGACGGTTTTAATTTTGATTGTCTTTTTCAGCATTTATTTACATTAAAATAAAATTATTAATCATCAATTGAAGCAATATTCATTACATTTGAACAATTTTAAGATACAAATGGAGAGCTTGGCTAAAATCAAAAGGTCATCATTTCCGCCAATTATTTGTTATATGTCCTATTAAAAGCCATCAGTGAATTTTTTATATTTGATAGAACATAAATAATTATTATAAAGCACATTATTAGATCAAATTATTTTCTCCATTTAAGCTGTACCATTGCTCTAAACAAGGATAATAAATCTAAAGTTCTAAATTTAGCTTTACTCGTGGCTCGATCATAGAATACATATAGATGCATTGTGAAAATTTTTTTTTTCATCTTTGACATGTATGTGTTGATGATATAATTAATATCTGGCATTGCAAAAATTTTTCAATTGTTTTTGCAAGGTCTCAAACTTTCATATTTGCACCTACTATTTTATGCCAATTTTTGCTAAATATAGAAACAGGGCTGTTACTAAAAATAGAAACACGTGGCACACTTTTCAAATTTAAATTTTAGATCCTCAGACAACCTAAACCTTAAAAATATATGATAAAATGAAAAGTTTTGTAGACCCTCCTGGACGATTTTTCAGATTTTGCATGTTTTTCTCTGAGACACGCTCTTAAGTTTCAGAGTTTTTGGCCTAGTGGTACATGAGAAGATTTTTAATGACCCCATCCTGTTTTTGTCTTTTCTTGATTATCTCTCCTTGCGAAGGGACTTGGTCCTTTATTTAACAATTTAAACTCCCCTTTACTCAAGATGCTTTGTACCAAGTTTGGTTAAAATTGGCCCATTGGTTCTTGAGAAGAAGTCGAAAACGTAAAAAGTTTCCAGACGGACGGACAGCTAAACAGCTACATGGACAGAAGGACGAGGGACAAAATGTGATCAGAAAAGCTCACTTGAGCTAAAAAGTGAACATGTGCTGACGGGATGTGGATCGATGGTCCTATATCATAACTTTTTCATTTCACTTGCTGAATACTAAAAGGAAAGGAATTTAAAAAAAAAAGAAAATGTATCATCTGGTATTCAATCCAGGTACCTCTAACATGTTTAGCGAGATACAAACCACTACACCACACAACCGCATTTTTCAAGCAGAAATTATGAGCAAACACGAAGTCACAATACATGTTTATATTCACGTTTGATATTGTCAAAATTTCATATAATGCATTTGTCTAATTTTGCCTTTATTAAACAGTCTTAATAAATAAAATAAGAGTTTAAAGTCTATCGTGAACCTGTAATATATGTAATAACTCTTTACAGGCCTCTGTGCTAAAAATAGCGACCTTTAATACAATAAATACTAATAAAACAAATGGGGTGTGACACTTTAAGGGAATGAGAGAGACCCTAGAGAGTTTTGCTAAAAAATTACATTCCAAAAGCTCAAAATCTTCTTGAATTATTGGCAACGAGTGTTACACACAGACAGATTGTATATGACCTTGAACTTTGACCTTTTGACCTAAATGTCACTAGGGTTCTTCCTCAGGCCACAGGGAGTTTATATGCAAAATTTGATTAAATTTCATTGCAAAAGGTTCTCGAGATATAGTGCAAAAAAGTTTTATAAAAGACAGAATTCATGAACTTGACCTTTGACCTTAAAATCAATAGGGTTCTTCTTTAAGCCATAGGGAGTTACTATGCAAAATTTCATTGCAAAAGCTCAGTGTTTTCAACACATCATGTGGAAACAAAAGCGCTAAAGACAGACCAACAGACCCAAATTAATATCCCCCACTTTCAGTGAAAGAGAGGGGGGCAAAAAACTACCTCATTTAGGTAAAAAGCTACAGTAAGTTATTTTAGCTATGTAGCTATTAGTAAATGTACTGAGTGTACCAGACCTACTTTAAGTTTAATTTACTATAGTGAAGTTGCCAATTCTGGATCACGTTAGTGTGTTTCGTGGATATTTTGCAAATCTGTTATATGTATATTTTATGCAAAATATGTACCGGGTAATAATGTATTGAAGGTACAAATAGTGAGTCACCCAAAAACCTTATTGTTTTCAAAGTAGCTACAAGGGAACAATATTTACAGGGTTATTTCAGCAAGGCCTAGCTTGCCAAGTTATAAATAATTATCTCTTCTTCTATGTGACTTCACGGTCTTGTGATATTCATTAATTGTTTTGGAACACGATTTTCATGATATATATGAAACATAAAAGTATTCATGCAGCTCGGAAAAATGTAAACAACAGAAATATGTTTAAATTATTTTTAAAACAATAACAACAAAACAGATTGTAATGTGCAGAATTTTTTTAAAAATATTTTGGCATTTAAATTTACCATACATGCACAACTAAATTTATTTATTAGAAGATGCATTTGAATGGTACATGTAAACTCATAAGAAATACACTACAGTTAGAATACTTTAATAATCAAGCTAAATTCACGATTGTCACTTGGTTTTGTACATTAAGCTTTGACATGTTTCATACCACAAGGTAATGTGAACAGCATTTAGAGAGACTACTTCAGTTTGATATTTTAATCATATAATTTTATTTGAGCAGTGATCAATATGATTGATTACCGAGTTAAAACTAAATGAATTTGCCAAACTTTTGAGATCTTAATATTAATCTTGAACTTTTATATCAGACTTGCTGCATTGAACAAAAACAAAAGTAGCCTGTCACCGAAGCAGAAAAATCCCTTTCTTCAATGCGTACATTTCAGAATTTTGACTGATAGATGCTCTCTTAAAGTTGATATTAAAATTTTTGTCATTAAATAAATTAATTACCAATGGAAAACCAATTCTTCATGACCAGAGTATTCATAAAGTTTTCTGCACTTAAATTTTCACAATATGGCATAAGATATAGATGAGTGACCGAGAATGGGAGATGACCCGGAATCTCATTCGATTCCATCATGACCCGGAATTGACGACTCCACTGTATGATTCTTGAAATACTATGTTTTTCGTAATATTAAAGATTCTTGATGTGAGCCATTTTCAAACCTGTCTGAGAGAGGAACAAACTATTACTGTATAGGAAATGTACAACTCTTTAAAGAAAACTCATTATTACACTTTAACAGTGAAATACTGCAATTTAACCATTCAATAAATGTGATATCCTGTCATTGACTGTGTGCTTCGCACTCATGAAAATATAGAAAATCCTGTCCCACGAGTGAAATAAATTCCATATTCAACTATAATAAAACATTAAATATCCTCTATATATTCAATAATAGGTTTCATATCTGTTCTAATCAACACCGCATCCTGCATCAAAAAGCTACTGTATTTTTGAGTATGCTTGAAACAAAATATTCAAGAAATAAGTGTTATTGAATAGATCATTAAAACTACCCCAAGTTAATTATGGAGGTAATTCAAGCAATGTAACTAAATGCATCAGGTGTGATTCATATTGTTTTGAAGACCTATCTGTAACTGATTTTGAAAACCAGTTATCATAAAAAATGGGCAAATTGTCATGTTACAGCAATGAAATATTAAATAATTAAGGTCATTTTTTGCACGCAAATTTTCAATAGCGAAAAATCCATTCGCGTGCACACACGATAAAATCTGAAATTGTTACGTAACAACTTTTTATCGTTCTATTCTAAATTTAATATTGTACCCCTAGCACATTTATAAATAAACAGAGAAAAAATTAAATGTAAATTGTCAATTGCTGTCCAAAGTTTTAAATACTTGAAAGGAAGTTTGCTTCCTTATTCATTACAGGTCCGTTCAAGATGGCGATATCGATCATGTCGAACGGGTTATCAAAATGAATCCGGGATGTTTCGCACCGATTCTGTTTCGCACTGCGATGTTTCGCGCCGGGATGATTCGCGCCGATTTCGGCGCGAAACATCTCCCCTCTTTTTTTAAATATTTCATTTATTTTGTGATAATTTAAGACTATTTATTAAATCTTAGATATAAATAAGTGTTGTACACTCAGAATCATGACTTTATAATATGCCTTGCCACAGGTAACGGATCGTAAATGTTGATATGGCGCCCGTTTGCTCAGCGTGTGTGTTCAGCTATATAGTTGTAATTAGTTGGAGATCAAAAGGTGAGAATTAATTTATTACAGCAATTATAAAGTCGTAAAGCAATTATCTGCGTGAACTTGAAAAAATATAATTTGTGTAAATGAGAACTTGTGTATAGAATAATCCACCAGGAAGTTTGATTGTAAAATTTAATGAGCTAGACATATTTTCTTAGTCGATATTTAAAACTTGGCTTTATAAATGGCCAATTGTTTTTTTCTGATTTTACATGATACATGAATATGATTTTATCAATTTTACAATCAGTATCATTTATCAATATTATTTTATTAATGTTCTGGGAGCGAAACATCGTGGGGCGAACCATCTCAGCGCGAAACAGAATAGGCGCGAAACATCGCGGTGCGAACCATGCATCGGCGCGAAACATCCCGTTACCATCAAAATATGATCATGTAAAAACACGACT